TGGAGCCATCCAACTTTTAGAGATTGGAGAGATGAGAAGTAACTAGCAAATGAGCAGAGAAGAAACAGCCAGTGACAGAGGAGAACCTATAGAAAGCTGCATCTTTGCTGTCGAATAAACTGTTCCAAGGAGGCAGTGATCAATGGCATCACATACAGTCATAAGTGAAGGAAGCTGAGGACTGAAAATAGACCTTTGGACATAAAGTGACAAGTACTGTCTTAGTGGCATGTAGCAAATGGTAGCCTCACTAGAGTTGATTTAAAAGAGAATAAATGGGAAGAGGGAAATTGAATACAAATCCATTTTTGTAAGGTTTTGTTGTAAAGTAGAACAGAGAAATGGAGTAGTAACTGCAAGGAAATGTGAGGGCAGGACAAAGTTTTGCTTTTAATTTTTTTTAAGATAGAAGATAATTACAATTCATTTTTATGCCCATGGTAATAACCCAGTACAGGGAAGGAACACTGATGTTGGAGAAGAAAGCAGACAATTGTTGGACTGAAGTTTTGAGTAAGTAAGTAAGATAAGAGGATTGCGTGAGGTATGAGCACAGAGAAAGGCAGAGTATGTGAATTGTTAGTGGATGTTGTGGGAATCTAGAAGTTGTCTTCCTGCTGCTTCTGTGTTCTCAGTTAGGTAAGAAACAAAGTCATCAGCTACAGGAGGATAGGGTGGATGTACTGAAAGGTTTTTCTTTTAATGAAGTACACAGTTATTTTATATGAAATGTATTATGAGATAACCAGTGAAAACTATCTCTTACCATAACAAATTTAAAATGTTTAGCTTAGCACTTGATGTACAGTAGATGTCAAAAAAATGTTTTACTGTAAAACAAAATTGAGATCACATTTTCACTTAGATTTGTGAAATGAAAATCCATTATTTCATCCAAAACAGTTCTATATAACTTTAGAATTTCTGGAGAAATGTGTGTATGAGGTGGGGAGCCCTTTAAAAATAAGAAGTTGGATTGTGGAGTCAGCTGTGTTATTCACCATTACTCTCTACATAGATTAAATTTATTAGATGACTAATCATAAGCAAAGATTGTCTGTCGGCAGAACAGAGTATGAGAAGATCATTTCATCCTATTATTCAGTTCTCTCTCTAGTGAGGGAAGCTTCAGCAAGTTTTATGTTGAGTTTCATTAGTGCACAGAATAAAGCCTGTTGCATATTATTGCTTTTAAGCAAAACAAATTAAAATGCCTTAGCCCAGATCATTCTCCAAACATCATCTAATGTAAATGCCCAGGAACAACTGGTAGTGAAATCCCACATTCTCATCTTCACTCTGAGTCATGGGATGGGAATTAGCAATGTAAGAAAAAGCATTTAAACTGGCCCCTCAAATGTCTTTACCTCAGAGTTCAAGGAAGTGACTCCACAATTTAACTGAGAAGAAGAAAACTCCAACTGTAAAACATACTGAATTTTGCATCTATTGGGAAGTAAATGCAGAAAATGAGTGTTGGCATTTCCCCTTCTCATTTACCAGTTCCCTGTGTAGTATATGTTTGCAAAAAAAAAAAAAAATAGCAACAGCCTGATAAAGCAGACTGTAAACCACTAAATAACCTCTAGAAATTTCTTTACAATGTAGTCCCTTCAATATATTATAGCTTTTCAATTGCCGGATAAGTGACCTATAACTAGAAATAACTTATATTTAATTACATTAACATTTTAACTTTTGAATTGGGGATTCACAAATTGTGTAAAATTATATACGTATATACATCATTTGCTTTTTTTTTCTCAAACAACAATGATGTATCTAACCAGGTGGTAAAGAAATCAAGGCCCAGGTCCAAAATCATGTTTGTTAGTATGCAGCATTTTTGCGCAGCTAATATTAAGCAGTGTTAAAATCACAATTCAGAAAATATGTAGTTTTTTCAATTATTTTCTTATAAATTATTTTTATACTTGAAATACTGCATTATTTGGTTATTTATAGGTGGCAACCATCTCTCAGTATAATAGATTCCTTTTCTCGTAGGAAAATTGGCTAGTAGTTCTTTTTAAATTGGCACTGCAGTTCAGACCTACAGATTAACTTGTGCAATTGTAAACATGTAATGTCTCTAAAATAGACTGCTTTGAGTTGAAGCCTAGAAATTATTTCAGTTCCTTTTAAAAGATCATTGCTCTGGATAATAATGCACAAATTGAGATGTTGGGAATCTAGTTTCCTTTTTTGTTCTTCAAAGAGTTAGGCAAAAGTATTGTTTGATTGTTTTAATTTTGACTGTTGGCAGTGCAAACAGCAGTTGGGGAAAAGAAGCAACACCACAGTGATTAAAAGCATGCACTCTAATATCCATATGCTTACATTCAAATCACGACTGCACTATCAGCAGTAAGAAGGTCAGAAATAGTAGAAAGCTCTATGCAAACATTTGATAAACATAGTTTATTGTTAGGGCAACAGTTCTTTACATCTTTGGAAGCTGCTATCAGTTTCAAGTAATCATCAATTGGATAAAACAGTATTGCTATCCTCTGAGTTTTGGAACTGCCTGTGAAACAGGACCAGGAAGCTAAGAGATGGGTAGCCACAGTAGTATGTTTGTGCTTGGTTCTACTGGCTTGCAAGAATTTTGTGAGCCAATTGTCAAACATAGTCATTATTAATAATTAAAATATTTAAGCTGAAAATTGTATTGTATTAAAAGAAATGATAATAAATATTTTAAAAACTAACCACTTCCTAATTATTTTCCTGCATTTTACTATTGTCTTTGGGAATTGTATTGTATCTGGGAATTGTATACCATGGTGTATTACTATGCATTTCTTCCCATCTCCGTATTCCATGACATCACATTGGTAGCTCGAATCAGTTATGGGACAGTATTTACACTGTGAAACTGAGCAAATGTTGCAAATCAAGGTTTGCCCTCACCCCTACCTAAGAGCTGGTTATTAAACTTTTACTTACCATTACACTACTGGATCAGGGTCAGTGTCCCACTAGTTCCTGTTATTCTTTTGCTGAATGTTATCATGAATAAAACAGAGACTGTGTTGAGGAAAGGATTGTTTAAAAAAAAAGGGGGGGCTTACACCTTAATGAAGGTTTCCCCTATAGATAATTTTTAAACACTTTCCTATGTTAAGCATCTAAAATACTCCACATCCCCAGAACCATAAGCAGTGAAGAAAAAACTGTTCACTTCATTACTATCAATAACAATGGTCTCCATTTGTATAGCATTGTGTAGTTACATATTATCTAATAAGAGTACCATGCTAACCCTCTAAGCTAGAATGGTAGCTATTATCATCACTACTATATAAATGACAAATCTATTTATATAGAAATTTCAGACTCCATAAGATTATTACTTTCCCATGGTTATTCAACTTGCAATTTGAAGAACAGTACATATGGATTCAGATTTTCTGACTGCAAATCAAGTGAAAATTCCACTTACGTGATGAATGTTATATTCTTTAGCAAAGGCTTATTAATTGTGAGTTAGGCATATCTCCCCCAACACCTCTCTTCCCCACTCCTTCTGCTCTGCTCAGCATGTTGGATGCTAAAAGTTAAACGTATTTGATTTTGTAACAATTTTGTAACACTAACAAATGCTTTTCAAATCCTTCTGGCTCTGTTATTATAGTATCTTTATTTAATCAGCTCCCATTGATGGTTATTTAAATTATTTATATTTTTTGTTTTTACAATGAACAGTCCTGTCAGTAAAGCATATCTATAGGATAAGTTTCTACAAGAAGAATTGCTAGATTAAACTATATGGAGATCATTCAACATAGTGATGAACGATCTCATAGTGTTGAAGAGTCTGGGCTCTTTCCCCTGCTAGCTATGTGACCTTGGGAAAGTTAGTTAAACTTCCTGTGCCTCATTTCCCTCATTGCTAAAATAGAGATAATAGCAGTGCTTCTCATAGATTCTTTGTGAGGATTAAGTGAGTTGGTACGTGTATGGTGCTTACAACAGTGTCTAGAATCTAACCGCTCGATTAATGTCAACTCATTATTATTGGCATTGAAAATTTTAGATAGATATTTACAAGGTTCTCTTCCCAAGTGTATTATAGTTAATACTTCCATCAACATGAGAATGACTGTCTCTTCACACCATCAGCACTGTGTCTTATTAAACTACTTGTTAATCTTTGCTAATCTGATAGATGAACATGATATCTCATAATAGCTTTTTATTTCTCTAATTAAGAATGAAGTTAAACATATTTTCACATGTGTTCATTTGTTTCGTGTTCTAAATGTTTCATGTTTTGCCATTTTGTTATTTGTTATTGATCTTACCATTGATTTGTAGAAATTCTTTCTGCATTAGGGGGTTCAGCCTTTGTCTGTGCTATAACTTACTCTTTCATTGTATTTCGTTCTTTTTTTATACAACTTATTCCTATTTTTAATCATGTCCTTATGACGATTTAAAGCTTCATATGATCAAGGGTCATGTCTGTTTATCATTGTATATTGAGCATCTAGCAAAATGCTGAACACATAATTAAGGATCAATAAATGTTTTAATAAATGCCACGTGGGCCAGATATGACAAAGAAAATCTTTGATACATAAATAGATTGGGAAATTAGACAAGAAACTATTTTGTCTGGAAAGCTAATGAGTTTGGTTTTGGATATGTAGAGTTTTAGGTAACAGCCAGTATTCAGAGTTGAATATGTTTAAGACTCTTACTTTGGCAAGATACTCATGAAGATTTTGGAGCCATCACTGTGAAGTTGTTGATTCGAAACAGATGATCTCTGATGGAAAGAATGTTGTGGGAGGGTTCATAGACGATACTTCTAATCAAAAACAATTTCAGGTGGCTATAGTCATAACATTTTTAAAACCAATATGAAAAGAAAAAGTAGAAGCATTGTATATTTCCAAATATAAAGATATGGGAAACGTAGGAATATTTTAATATTTGAAGCAATAATGATTATTGAAAAGTATTTAGATAATGTTACAGTTATAGCCAAATCGCTTATGAAGAAATGAAACATTTATTCATGGAAAATTGAGTCCATCAATAAGCTTGTGGAAATCATAAGTGCTATTTTGTATAAGGTAGGCTATTTGTGCTTTTTAGTTTGTAATTGGACAGTAATTGTTTTCTATTACTGAACTATCACTGAGAGATTAATTACTATCAGTTTAGTCTCTAAATCTGTCTTTTATATAATAGATTATATGAAATCTATATGAAATATAAGAAACTATTCAATCTCCTAAAAAGAAACACTTATTTTCTCAGAACAGAACATTTTAAAAAATAAGTTATAGATATTATTTAATATCCAGGGATATCTTTATGGCTGTAGTCATTGAATAACCATTGTGACTTAAATGTCTATGAATTAGTACCTTTATAAGTCTGTTATAAAATTATAATTCTTGCTTAATAATTGTAAGGAAATAAGGCAGAAATTCTATTCTGATGGCACAGGGAATATGGTAATCCAATGTTAATTTAGAGTTTCAAATGATCCTGTAGATTGAAAGATACTGTCTTGAAAGTGTCCAGTTTTCCTTTTTATTAAAACATATCTGTAACTTAAGAAATTAGAAACAGATACAATTGTACTTGTCAGACAAATTATGTAGCAGACAAAAATTGTAGTCACATAACTTCCTACTTAACTTTTAGCTGCCTTTGTCTTATTGATTGGAAATCCTGGCATTGCTGAGCATTTTTGTCATTAAAGCAAAGTTCTTAGATACAGTCACCAGATTCTTCCCTCCAGGTGAGGGTCTTGTCAGTGATGAATGAAGTGATCTATAAAAAAGATGCAGAAAGTGTGAAGGCAGAAAATAAATCTACTTGAACCGGTGCAGCAGAGCAGTTTATCATGGCACATCTGGCTGAGCATGTGCTGGCACTGGACACTAGAGGAGACATATAGTGAGAGTCACTCAGGGGCTTTTAGGAAGCCAGTAATTTGCTCTCAGAAGTGCTTATTTTCTACTTATAATAGGAACATTTATTCATTAAGAGAGAATAGAAACTCCAAGGCAGCTTGTGTTAATATACAAAGGAAATAATTACAGAATTTTTGCTCAAGGTCTCGTACAACTTGTGGTAAAAGACTGGAAATACACACAATGCAAAGTATATTTCTTGTTTTTCTTAATTAGAAAAACATCATCCTTAAAGTTGCTTCTCAAAGAAGCAAATGGTGATAGAATAAGGTTTTATTTCATTCAAATAGTTACTGTCAGGCCAAGCGCAGTGGCTCACACCAATAATTCTAACACTTTGGAAGGCCAAGGTGGGAGGATCACTTGAGGCCAGGAGTTTGAGTCTAGATTGGGCAACATAGTGAGACCTGGTTTCTAAAAAAAAAAAAAAAATTAGGTATGGTGGCACATACTTATAGTTCTAGCTACTTGGCAGGCTGAGGAGGGAGAATCACTTGAGCCTAGGAATTCAGAGTTGCAGTGAGCTATGATTGCACTACGGCACTCTTGCCTGGGCAGCAGAGAGAAACCCTGTCTCTAAAAACAAACAAACAAAAATAGCTACCATTTCTGCACTTTTGCTCTGCCCTTGCTGAGACTTAGGGGAAGGAAGTCAATGATTTGTTTTTAAAGCTCACTTACTTTCCAGAAAGGTAGGCTACCTGAGTTGTGATAAGCCAGTGTCAAAGAACTGATCCAAAAGGGGAATTAAAATCCTTAGCTGTACTTGGATGGAACAGAGGAGCGGAAACCACTGCGTTCTAGGAACGTACCCCACAAAATCAGAATGTAAGAGAATGTGGCTGTCTCAACTTGGGGCTGTTCTCTTGGTATGACGAGGGGCAAAATGTACTCATTACAGAAATATGGCCAAATATTGCTTACTTACGTGAATCCATATCTCTTTATTGCTAACTATTCTCAATCCCATTACAGAAATGGAAGCTAAGTTTTGCAAATTGGCCATTTATGTTTAGTGCACACAATTTTTAATTAACAAAATAAAATGCCACGATCCATTGTAAATCACTTTGCTAAACTTTCAAACTTAATAAGGAATTTTGTCTCATCCAAAAGCTACTTTCAAACCCCTGCTGATCTGGCACTCATGTCTGATTCCCTGTGGAGCTGAGTGAAAGAATGTAAAGGGAGCCAATTAAAGAAACTTTGAGCCAGCATAGACAAGCAGAGGCCATCTTGTCCATCCTTCTGCCTTCAGGCAAAAACCATCCGCTGCAACACAAATTTTTGCTTGAATCCTGCTGACAAAAATGCTCACCACATGTAAATGACAAGTCATAATCCAGTTATTGCAACTAAAGCAGATTGTTAACTGCTCAAGACTTATTTATTGTGTTCTAAAGATGCTGAGTATGAAAGCTCATCTGAATTGTCTTAATTCCCTTTCTAGAAAATTATTTTGTACAAGAAATGTGCTCAAATAATTGTAAAGATGGGGGAGGTTTGTGTCCAGGAAATAAAGTTATCTTTATCATCTTATTAAATATATTTTTGGTTTCCTTTCACTGTAGGTTTACCTTATGGGTGGGAGGAAGCTTACACAGCAGATGGAATCAAGTACTTCATCAAGTAAGTACAAGCATCTCAACCAAGTAAGCAATTTTCTTCACATCTGGAGAGAACCTGGAAGTTGCAGAATAATCAGTAAAACTAAGAAACCTTCTTGGAGGTTACAAAAATTAGTAACAAGAAATGAAGCCTCACCATTTTCATTTCATGTGATTTAAATGCTAATATCAGATATCATTTGGTAGAAAAAAACCTGGTAATAATTTCAAGGGAAACATGAAAAAATTGGAACAGGATTATCATTTGAACTTAAATGCTGGCTGCCTGAATTCACTTGCTGGCTAGCAATATTGATGTTTATGAAAAGTTAATACCTAACAAAAAAATCCATTTTGTATATCATTAAAAATTCTTAACAATAATACTAATAATCAACATTTTTAATGCTTTAAAATGCACACAGTTCATTCTACAACTATTTTTTTTGAGCATTTGCTTTTGCCAGGCAGTGTTCGACGCCATGGAGATATAGTGGTTTCTTGATAGCATAGAATTTACATAAAATTCTATGTAAATTTACATAAAATTCTATGCTATCAAGAGAGGAAAAACAGACAGTAAATGACTTGAGATAAATAAGACGGTATATGAACAAACCTTACCTCAGTGGATTCTCAGAACAACCTCTTGAGGTATGTGTACCTTGTCATTTTTTTCTATTTTATAGATGAAGAAAATAAGAGCCTTCAGTAATTACCAAAAAATCTATCACTGCTTAATTACCAAGCCAGAACTAGAATCAAAGTCTTTTGACCCCAGTAATCTACTACTATACTAGTCTGTCATTGATAGAGACCCATCCTTGAAAGCCTGAACAAGGATACATTTCCTAGATGCTGAACTGATTAGTTTTATGCTGGCTGGACAAAGCACTATGATATACTTCTACCTTTACCTGAAAATTCCTTTTATGTCAGTATTGACATTATGAGAGCACAAAAGGGAATCCCAACAGACTCCTAAGATCCCAGGAGACTCCTTTGTGTGTCCTTTTAGCAAAGTATATTTGGTATGCATTTTGGAAGGAAAAGGGAGACAATATGCAAATATTTTACAAAACAATATCCAGATTTTGGATTTTCACGTCCTGTGACTTTACACAATTCCTAAATCTCTCTTAATCTCAGATTTCACATCATATAATGAGGGGAATATTATCTACTTTATGAAGTTGTTTAATGTGAAGCATCTAGCATAGCATTTGGAACTCAGTAGATACCCAATAAAAAGCCATCATGAATTTACAATGTGGAAAAACCATCATGGAGGGGGGAAAAAATCCTGAACAATCATGTGACCATTAAAAACATTTAGAATTCAAAAGCTTCATATTTGAAAAAGTTTAAGGAAAAACTAGAGGTAAACCTGGCAAAGTGTTTTAATGCTGAATTTTTTTCTTGCAATCTCTAGCAAAAAGTGATTAATCAAGCAAAGGGGTTTATTACATGTGAAAGAAAAAGGAGCTTTTGGCATAGGGGACCCAGGAATTCCATGAAGATTACATTTAGTACCACACTCTTTACTTCCAGAATCAGACCTCTTCTGGAAGGGGCTCTTTCGTATGCTGGGTTCATTATGTTCAGTTTCTGGAAGAATTGAATCACTGTACTGTAGGAATGGAAGGAAAACGAAAAAGTACATTCAAATCTATGTTGAATTTCTTTCTCTCTTTTTGATATTAACTTTGTGATTTATAAAGGAAAAGATGAGGGCATGAGCATTTACCGAGGACTAGCTTGTGCTTAATAGCCAGGAAAATGCTAAGTGTATTTCTCTATGTATTATGTCACTTAATGCTCTTAACAGTATGGAAAATAGGTGTTGCTGGGCGCTTGTTGGAATGGAATTATGAGGGTGGTGAGCTGCATCACGCCCCTAGCCATACCTTTCTCCTAAAAGGTCCCCAAAAGAAATGCATGATTAAAAGAAAGAAAATCAGCATTCATTATTAACTGGGGTTCTTCATTTAGAGGCCTTTGAAAAATGTCAGTAAATGAGTCTGGACCCTGTGGGGAACTCCTTTACTGTCTGTCAGTATATCCTAACCCAGAGATGAATGTCAAAATCTAACTAGTGCCTTAAGAGAAAAGAATACTAGTGGCACAGTTACCCAAAACAAGTAAGACATAGGGAACAAGAGATGGCCAACCAGAGAATTGGTTTTTCTCCTTACCTGTTTCCCAGCTAGCTTAAGCCACTGTTCTCTGCAGACTGGAAATGGCCTTGGGCTGGACTCCCACTATAAGACAGAACAACATCCTGGAAGAGGAGAAAAAAGAGAATCAATAAGCCCTTTGGCTGCCCTGAGAACTAACTCAGTGTCTGTGGAAAGAACAGAGGATGGCTACATTTATCCTATCTCCATTCCTTCACTCAGAAAATATACCCCCAAGGAGTGTGTTTTGGAAGTCGACCAATTTTTTTTCTTTGACATTAGTCTTGACACATAAGGAAAACAGAAAAGGAAATGATAAGATGTCTTACCATTTCATTAGAAGAAACTGTTAAAGAGGCTATACTCATCAAGGTCACACAGTAGTAAAATTGCAGAACCAAGATTCAGATCCAGAGTTGTCTGGCCCCTGTGCGTGTGCGCGTGCACACATACACACACACACACACACACACACACACACACCCATGCCACACCACCTCCATATCCTTATGTTGATATAGTATGCTGACATGTAACAAGAAAGACACTTTAAAAAGATCTCAATTTAGGAAGAGCTCTATACTTTATTCATTTTAAAATAGCAGAATAGAAACTTGATTGTAAGAATAAGAAGTTGTCTTCCAGAGATTAAAAAAGTCAAACAGTAGAAATAAGAAAATCTAACAATATACCTTTGCTTCTTTTACTCAGCCTCGTGAGGGAATGGGGTGCTTGGCATGAGTTGGATTTTTTTGTTGGAACTTAACTCTATTCAAGCACCAAAACTTATTCTAGTTTAACTGTTCTTGATGAAAGTCTTACTTTAATATATGTAACACTCTTCCCTGACTTCCTATACAGAGGCCAGTGAACAAAATTCTTGTCAACATCCATCATTGTACACAATACAGCGAGTTCTACAGGGGATATTAAGCTGTATAAGACAGAGTAGAGACATAGCTGTCATCTCTTGCTGCTCTCGGTGTGCCTGTTCCTTCCTCATGTCCATTCTCTTTTGCCCCCTCTCCACAAGCCACCTTCTTTCCCAGCTTTGTATTTGAAGAGGACAGGATGCCAGATAATGAGGCTAATTTGAACTGCTTGTAAATAGCCCTTGAATGTGGTTCTGCAGGAGTGCTTATGTAAGTGAAGTATGATACATAAGTTCTGTTGCAGGTGGATTTGATTATAAGAAGGCCATCTGGTATATGGGAAAGAAGAGCATGGGCTTTGGACTTGGAGAAACTTTAATTAAAATGACAGTGTCTACACAAAATAGCTGAAAAAATAGCTAAACCTTAGACACATTTACTTAACCTCTCTGGGCTTAATTTCTACATTTATAAACTGGAAAGTATACCAGCACTTCTTAGGGTTTCTGTCCAGAATGAATGAGCTTGTGTATGTAAAGGGCCTGTCACAGCACCTGGCCCAAATTAGACGCTTTCAACAAAGATTAGCCCTTTTCACTCCCTCTCCTTGCTTTCACATTTTGGTGGGAGATTCTTCATGGTTCTTAACTGCATTCAACTAGGTGATGTTGCCAGGTAAGTAAAGTTTGCATATGCAGACATCTACTATATGTCTCTTTTGGAACTATTTAGTTTTGGGTTTTTATTTGTTTTTGTTTTGTTTTAATCTTCATTACCTTACTACCCCAACACATATTTTGAGTCTGTATAGCTTGTGTTAGCTTTTGAGGTAAGAGTGATTCATTTACCATATAGATGATACTTTGAAGGAAAGAAATAGTAAGTAATGGACTCAGATCACTGCTCTCTCACCTCTACTTAGGAATAGTGACTGAAATCACCCTTCCAAAACACTGGAAGAGATGATGGTATATATATATATATATATATATATATATATATATATATATATAGTCTCTTCCCTGAAATTGGCATCTGTTCCTGCCTTCCCAGAAATTGAATTGTTACATCTGATGGAAGCCAAGCCTCTGGCAAAGGAATAACTGTCACTGGTGTCCTAAGAATGTCCAGATGAACATAGTCCTCATTGAATATTCCTGCTCCTCCACACGTCCATCACACATATATTAATACTTTGTCATCTACTTAAATTCTGATGCAAGAGAAGAAAGCATTTTACCTAGGATGAACAAATTTAATCAGCGTTGGCATTGCTACAGCCATTGTTTCATAGAATTAATAAACATATATGTCTGTGTGTGTGTGTGTGTATGTTTGTGTGTGTGTGTTTGGGTACCAATGTGTATATGCATATATGCATGTGGGCAGAGTTTGCTCACTTGCCTCATATATATGTAAAAAAGCAAATACATTATTTATATAGTTTAAAAATGTATCTGTGCATTCTAGGAAATTTTTTCTTATTTTCTCCTCAGAAACAGAGAGTTGCAACATTCTTAAATTTAATAACAAACTGTCCATGATCTTGAGGGTGCTATAATGAAATTATCTGAATAACTTGATTCATTTTTCTACCCAATTTCTTATCTTTTACCCTTTGAAGTTATATTCTGTTACAGATTTATAGTAGTCTTTGTATGATTCTATTTAAAAGTTCACATGCTTTATACATACTATGTAATGTAACAAAATTATTATGTTATCAAGTTTGTAGTAAAACAATTTATGACAAATTAGGCATAGCTGCAAATTGCTTTTGTTGTATTCTTTTATCTTTCTGTTGAAAGATTCAGATTCACTGTGATTAATGAGCATACTTAATTAACTCTATATCTGCATAATAAATTTCTCCAAAATTTTAGCTTAAACCAATATGTATTTTCTTACCCAGTTTTAGAGCATCGTGAATCCAGGAGTGGCTTCATTGGATTATTCTGGCTCTCTCACTTTCTCTCTGGGTCTCTCATGAAGTTGTAGTCACTCTGTTAGCTAGGGCTGGGACTTCAAGAGTGGCCTATTGAGCTGGCTGGAATATTTGTTCCAAGCTCACTTGTGAGGCTATTGGCAGGAGGCTTCACTTCCTCATCATATCATGAACACATGGGGCTACTCACCATATGGGAGCTGGTTTCCCTTGAAGTAAGGGACAAAAGGGACACTTTAGCAGAAGCTAAAGTGTCTTTTATAACCAATGTCAGAGTGACTGATCTGCCATCATTTCTGCTATATGACCAACCCTGGTTCAGTGTAAGAGGCACCTACCCAAGTTTATGAATACCAGAAGGTAGGAATCACTGGGAACCATCTTTGAGGATGCCTATCAGATGCTGCTTCACAGTATATGTAAAATATATGTTTCATATGACTTATATAAATAATACAAAATTGTCTATGTCAGTTACTTGCTTTGAATATTCATTTATACCAGCAGTTCCCAGCCTTTCTGGCACCAGGAACCCATTTTGTAGAAGATAATTTTTTCATGGACCAAGGAGTAGGGGGATGGTTTTGGGATGAAACTGTTCCACCTCAATCATCAGGCATTAGATTCTCATAAGGAGCATGCAACCTCGATCCCTTGCATGTGAAGTTCACAGTAGGGTTTGCACTCCTAATGCCACCACTGACCTGACAAGAGGCAGAGCTCAAACAGTAGTACTTGGTTGCCCACAGCTCACCTCCTGCTGTGCAGCTGACTCCTAACAGGCCATGGACCGCTAGAAGTCCATGACCCAGAGGTTGGGGACCCCTGAATTAGCCATGGCCCAGTGGTTGGGGACCCCTGAATTATACTGTTGGTGATTTTTTAAATAATCATTTGCTTTTAAGTTACTTAAATTTGGCGTATAATTCTCCATGCATTCATTTGGGTTGATATGCCTTTATATCAGATCCTAAAATCTGAGATGTTGTTCCTCATGTTATAAATTTCATTCTTTATCACATAGGCAGTATTAGAACATTGCAAATGCATGTCAGTAGAACCTAGACAGTCTATGTGTTTGAATAAGAT